CGGTGGTCATCTCCATTTCAAAGCCGAAGAGCCAGCGCTGTCCGAAGACGTCTCTGTGGTCATGTAGCCAGCATGACTAAACACTGAAGGTGCACGGAACACAGTTACCTTCCCACCAAAGGTGGTCTCTATTTTTCTACTTGCATTTTTACATGCTTTCAAACTGCTAGGTTGGCAGAAACTGGGACAAGTAACGGGAGCTCACTCCATTACGCGGTGCTAGGGATTCAAACCGCCAAGTAAGTATACTAGGACAGTGGTCCCCAACCTTTCTGGCACAAGGTATCGGTTGTGTGGAAGAGAGTTTTTCCATGGACTGGAGTGGTGCTGGTCTCACATGCAATCTAGATCCTGTGCATGTGCAGGTGAAGCTTTGCTTGTTCACCCACTATCTGCATGGACTGGTTCCTAACATGCCACAGACCGGTACCAGTCCAGGGGTTGGGAATACTTGTACTAAGCCACTGTACAAAGCAGATAAATTTGCTTCCTAAAATTCATTAACTGCTTAAGTCATTTTTTTTTTAATTTTTGAACTTTCAAGTAGAATAACACAATGAAAAAAAAGGAAATGGAAAAACTTAAAAATGGGATGTTCATGATTGGCAACTAAAGTATTAAAATTATGTATTGCATATTTATTTAAATCATAGATGTCTTATTTTCAGCAATGTCTGCATGACTTTGCTGCTTTCATTGTAACAAAAGTAGCATGTCAAAACAAGCTCCATTCCAGCATGTACAAAAGGAACATGACTTAAGTTATTGCGCCACTGCTGTTGTCATCCTGCCACTCCTTGACCCTTACTGCAGACACTGGCATTTAAACACCCCACTTTAAACAGAGGCATATTTTTAACTCCTGTCTAAACCAATGAGTGAAAGGCCTGTATATTCCCAATGATTTGAAAGGAAGTCTAGCCCAAATATTGTAGAAAGAATTTCAGATGCATACTACAGAAAGCTAACACAAAACAGTCTTACTGGGAAAGTGCAGTGAGAAGATCATAATGCTTCATGGTGTCTGCCAATGTATCCACAGCTGACTCCAATGTAAGAAGCAGTTCGATGACAAAACCCTATAAACAGCAAATCAGCACACAGGCAATTTATAAACCAGATACATTGAAAAGCATTGAAACTCAAGTAACTGTATTAATGTTTCATTGATAAAATATAATATTCAATATATATATTTCAACAGAACAGGTTGCCGAACACGTGGCAATCCTGCCTAGCACCCATCTGTTTTCCTTAATTTTTCTACAACTGTTTGTACTTACAAAAGCATTCTTACAGAACTTATTCTATCCATCTAATAAGGTAGACACAGTCCACAAATGTTTATGTGAAAATAGATTGATCATTTCTAGGTTTATCTAGAGCAGGGGTTTCAAACTCAAGGGCCAGGGGCCGAATCTGGCCCATGGGGTGCTTAAATCTGGCCCATGGGATGGCCTCGAAATAATATTGGCCCACGGTGCCTCTGTTAGTGAAAACAGGGCATGGGGGTCCATGCACCACCGGGGGAGAGACAGGATGAATGCTTCGTGCTGGACAAAATGGGATGTGTGTGGAGAACACACAGCCCCCCGTTCCCCATTTTGTCTGGCAGGGTACTGCAGGAGGCGTCCGTCTGGTCTCCCCGGCCAGCCTGCGGAGGACAACTACAATGCTGATCTGACCCTTGAAGAAATCCAGTTTGGTACCCCTGATCTAGAGCTTCTTTAACATTTTGAATGAATAAATCACTGTCTGAGAGTGGATTAAGTAACATGTACATATAGGTAGGCTATCGAGAACTTGCTTTTTATAATATGCATAAAGTTACACTACAATTCATTCATTCGTGCCTCAAAAATGGAAGAAAGTCATGCTATTGATTTTTACCAGGCATCAGAGGCTCTAAGAAGCAGGAACTAGGGAGTTTGTGTCTGTAAATCATTTTAGGACTACAAATTATCTGACACTAGTGCAAAAAAATTTTTGATTGCAAAAAAAAAAACTAACAATCTATAACTTTTAAAAGTTCAAAGCGATTTGTTATGATGCCATGCTCTATAAATATGTAACATTCCCCAGGCATAAATCTTCATTTCATGTTCAACTCAAAATTATCGGTTTGTAATTTTTTTTTGAAAAGCGAAATACCTGAGCTTCTTCTCCCGCATCTCCAACAGTTTCTACAAGCCTGGAGAGAATATCAGAAAGCGTATTTGCTGAAAGAGGCTGTTTCAGTGCTCTGAAAATCTGAAAAGATCTTCCAGCATAGTGTCGAGAAGAGCAAGAAAGTGCAGTCTGCAGAGCAACTTCACTAAGGTGCTGCTCCAGCTGGAATCCAACTGCAAGAAAAAGTGAACGTTAATAGTGCCTACAATTAATTATCAATCAATCAGAATAGAGCTGGAAGGGACCTTGGAGGTCTTCTAGTCCAACCCCCTGCTCAAGCAGGAGACCCTAAACCATTTCAGACAATTTATTTTAGCAAAATGTACAGAAACATATTGAACATTTATTTTTATTTTGGAAGAGGAAAACCTAAATGAAACACGTTCCTTCTTTAAACTGCTAAATTTACAGCATGTACTGATCATAGCAAATTGAAAGTTTTCAAAACATACCTGAACTTGACTGTTTGAATACAGAAACAACATGCTTTAGAAATATAGTTAACAACTCAGCACTCTTTATGCTTGGATTCTTTGCTGAAACATCTTCGTGATTCCAAAGTGGCCCACGTTTTCTACAGATAGAAAAAAATAATCAAACCAGAAACTCATTTGTTAAAAATAATTCATTATCTGCATTGGAGCCTTACGTTTTGACTCCCTGATTATTTATCAAGTGGCTCTTTTAGAAGAGTTATAGCTTTTCAAATATAAAAAAACATGCATGCTTTTACAAACATGCAATAATCATAGATATTTGTTGCTACAAGTTAAATTGCTACATTATTTTCTAAAACAAACTCTGCCATTAAATTTAAGCACAGGATTAAAGAAGCCCTAACCATAATTTCGTCCTACAAGGAAGATAAAAGTTTTACTCTATTTAAATTTACGAAGTGAGGCAATCCATTCTTAACAAAATTCACTAACTCAGATACCATTTCCATGGAATCAAAAGCTCAGTAATGCTGACTATTTCACAGTATTATGAAATTATATTGAGCAAGAGCTCAGCACATTTTTGAAAATGTATGCATTTCTATACAGTTGAGTAAATGCCATCATTTAAATGTTACCTTGAAGTAATAAACTCCATAAGTGACTTCATTTTTTCATCTTGTTCTCCTGAAAGATCAACTTCATTGAGAATGGTGCTTTGCATCTGAGAAATGGCAGCGCTTGTATTTCCTAAACTGATGCTAGAAGAGGTAGAACTTGAACTGAGTCCTGAGTCTGTCATTGGAGAGGGCTGGTGATCTGGTATAAAATCATTAACACCTAATTACAGAAAGACATAATTACCATTCTTAAAATCTTCACACTGACTTTTCAAAAATTCCAGAACATATTCTGATTTCTTTATACTTCATTATTTTAGCCCAATATTAGCCCACCTTAAGAAAACTGCTATTTCAAACTTTGAATATTTTAAATTTGGAGTGTTTCGTACATCCCAACAACATCCCATTCTAGGGAAGAAGTCCAATCTGGTACTTTTTGTGTACAGCCACCCCAAATAAGTTTTTTGGGAAAATAGAAAGTTGTAATATCAGTCTTATTTAATACATATGAATAACATAAAAAATGGACATACATGATTAACAATTCTACATAATTATATTTGATAGTGAGGTGCTGCCACCTGCTGAAAAATAGTGTCATGTACCAAAAAAGGATTGCAAAATGAAATAATCAACAAATTTCTAGCTGAACAACCTATGAGCCCACTGCATCCCTTCCTATATTCACTATACAGGGAAAACTATTTGCAATACTATTTATTAAAAACTGAATCTGAATTCATTACTATAAATATTTAAAAAATTGTCTGGAGAAAATATCCTATACTGGAACTGGGAATTAAGAATTCTTCAAACAATTCTATTAACAGACTATTAAATTTTTGAAACAGTGAAGCTTTACTCTGTTGCATTAGTCTGCTCTTCAAAAATAAAATGAACTTTTAATTATTCTTCGTATTTTCCTGATTTAAATAACAAATTAAACAATGCTATAAAGATTTCTAGATAATCAACTTAATGATTCTTATATTTCTTACTACAGTAAATGTCTTAGGTTCTTAGATCTGAGAGACCCACTTGCCTTGATCAAGTTTGTTTTAAAAATATTAAAGAGTTATTGAGTAATGTAGCTTTTTCAATTACCTATTCAAGAGACAGAATTTCTAACATATTGCTGTGAAATAGCTTTTCCAGATAGTCCTCCACTTACAATGGTAATTGGGATTGGAATTTATGTTGTAAGTCATTGCAGCCATAATTTGAGTCATCATGAGATAGAATCTGATTTTTATTGTGGTCTTAAATTGAGCCACGCAGTTATAAGTGCGAATCCAGGTTAGCCAATGGCATTTTTTGTTGGAAACCAATAAAATTGCTGGAAACATCGCAAATTGTGTTCATTTGACCAGAGGATGCTAACATTGGCTGTTGGCAGTTGCCAAGCACCCAAATTGCAATCACATGAGTGCTGGGGTAGGGTAACAGTGGTAAGTATGAATTTCGGTTGGAATTGACTTTTTTAAAAGGTCGCTGTTAATCCAAATCGTTAAGTGAACTGTGGTAAGTTGAGGGCTACCTGTAGTTTTATTTTCATTATTATGAATAGAGGGCGCTTTAAGTCTTGTTGAACTGCGCCCCCCCCCCCCATTGGTCTCCCAATTACCATGTGGACTATTTAGAAGACTGAAGGTACCTGTGAAGATGCAATCCAAATGTGCTATTTGTTTGATGGTGAGCACCCGGGGTTCATTAAACTCCTTGTTCCTGAGAAGGATAGAAGCCACATCCTGGACACTGCTGTTAGAGCCCATCACTATCAATAAATGCAACATGAGGCGTTTACAGTGTTCGTATACTTCTGGATGGTGATGATCAAGACCTACATCCAAGGGGAAAAATGCGTGTAATCAAATTATGTATGCGTACGTTACTGTTGCTAATGAATTAAATGTTCATTTAAAAGGAACATGCTTAGTCCTATTCGCTATTTACTGTTGTCATACACTCAAGAGATAAGAATTCTTACAAAATTATTTTTCCTTACTTGCTATGGTATACTTATTTTTATTAAATATAAGAATAATAGCAGTAGACTTATATACCGCTTCATAGGCCTTTCAGGCCTCTCTAAGCGGTTTACAGAGAGTCAGCATATTGCCCCCAACAATCT